AGCGCCCTGCCAGGACTGCCTCGCGCTGCGCTTCTCGGTGCTCAGCACACTTAACGAACGGTGGGCTTGGAAGGTTTTAATACCTAAAGTTACTGTATGTTCTAACATAATCCGACTCTCGTGTTTTCAGGTTGCTGAGGAGCTGCTGTATGAGCACTGGAAGAGGAACAATGCTGAACTCCGGGAGGTGATGTTATTTCCTTCCTATTCCCCGCTGCCTTGCACTTATTACACCAGCCTTTAACCTTTGCACATCATCATGTATCTACTCTCATAGTTTGTCTTGAATCACAGCGTAGCAATTGGCATATGTTCTGATAAGCGAAAGACAAAGAAGTAGGTAAAATGGCTTAACTGTGTAAGAACACATTTCAAAGCAGGTATTCTTGAAAACAGCGAGGCTGACACTGAGAACAGATTTTCAATGCCTGTGGCTTATGTAACTGAACCTTTCTGAGATTCCTGCCTTATTAAAACAAAAAAAAATACAGCTTTAGACATCTTTTCTATCCTTAGCGCATAAAATTCCTGTGTAAATATCTTAGGTGCTTTTAAAGCTGTACCTGAAATGTCTGTAGTGCCTCTTTATTCTGCTGACCTGCTCCAGCTGCCACATTTCTCATTTCAGTACCACTGTACTGTTTCCCAGAACTGGCATGCGACACCAGACCTCAGCTCACAGTCTGGTGGAGACTGAGGACAGGCAGACAAGCCGTGCTGCTGCAGAGGGAGATCCCACAGGGGCTTTTGGGGCTAAGGATGTGCCAAGAGGGTCTCCAAAGCGTCCCATCTAGATCTTGCTGGCAAAGAGTCCCTGGCTCTAGTGGTGATGCCGCATATGTTGTCTTCTCCAGATTGAGTCAGAGCTGCACAAGAAGCACGTAATAGACGCTTGGGGCGATCAACTAATGCGAAAAAAGCAGGTACGCTGGGAGTGCCCTGGGGTTGCCGGTCACTAGTGGTTATCGGTGGAATCCTGGTATCTGTGAGCAGATGTCTATTTTACAGTATGTGCCTGTTAACTTAGTTCACAGACAGCTTTCCTTTCTGTAAGGACATGAATAGGATGTGGAAGGAATAGAAGGATTTGCCTGCTTCTTCATTGTTTTTATACCAGTTATCAAATAATGACTTACGTTGCCTTGTTCATTCCCATAACGATAGGAAGTTCCGGTTTCCACAGAACAGCAGGAGTTGTTAACAGGAAGGATGCTTTTAATTAAGAGTTATCATTCCTAGCTAACAAATACATACTATTTGTCTCCTAGAAAATCCAAAGATATTGTCTGCTAAACACATGTTGCATGGTTCCATGTGGCACAAAGTGCTCATCTTTGACAGCTACCTGCAGTACGCAACTGAGTGCAAAACTTCAAGAACTTATTGCTTGGAATATACAAGTACTAGATACAACTATTTTGATTTGAAAGAATAATAAAGGTCTTCAATTACAGAAACATTTCAGTTAACTAACAAAAATAATAATCTAGGTATTTATAAGAAACTGCAAGTGTATTTGTGTACAAAACATCATTAAACTAACACTACATCACCTGTGCTTAGTATCGGAGCTGCGCGGGGTCCTGCTAAAGATCTGTCTACTCCAATGTCCACTCTCAGACAGCAGTCATCAGAAAGTCTTACTTTGCCCTTATATTCTTTCCTAATACTTTGTCCCACGTTCTCCAAATACGTTTCAGCTTGCAGGAATTTGTGATTTGTGGATTTCTTGAGCCAGGGGGTTGTTTCTCTGTGTTTAGCCTAACCTTAAATGCTATACTTTCTTTTGGCTTGATAAGCAAGAAGCAACCGAACAAGAAGAGAAAAGACGGTATGAAAATGAGTATGAAATTGCGCGGAGGGAAGCGCTGGAAAGAATGAGGCAAGAGGAAGAAAAGCGCCGGCTGGAAGAGAAGAAGCAAGCAGAGATATTAGTTCAACAAATACAAGAACTGAAATTACAGGAGACAGAGGTAACTTTCAGTTTCTCCTCATGTGAGAAGGAAGTTTGTTTTGCTTGCAAATACAGCAACAGTGACTCGACCTCTTCCTTCCACGTTTCTGTTAGATTGCATCAGGAACAAAGTAAGCGGTGACAAAATTTCTGTTAGTGACGTAGACTTTTGCCTTGACACTACCATATTCATTGAAATCTAGTAGCCTTTATTTGCTCCTCTTGGAACGTGGTCACTGTTTTGTGTTGCATCCGATGAGGAAGATTTGTAGAAACTTCTAATTGTGATGCCTTTAGGCTGAAGGCTTTGTTCAGCTGGAGCTGCTCACTGTGTCTCTCGTGCTATATACCAGTAAGACAGGAGCGTATTTTAACGTGGGATACTTACTGCAGTGGGGGTTTTAACTGCTTGCAAAGCAGTTAAAAGTTAAAGGAGTTAAGTTAAGGAGTTGAGTTCTTTGAACCACTCTTGCTGCTGGAAGTAAAACATGGTACAAACACTGGTACGAAGGTTCCCTCTGGGATATCTTAGCTCTTTAAAGTGCTGTTTTTTAGGGGTTCTTCCCCCCCCCCCACCCTTTTCTAAAAAATAAGGCAACAAAACTGAAGAAAGAACAAGAGAATTTAATAAAGCGGAAGTGGGAGCTGGAGAACTTGGAAGAAGAAAGGAAACAAATGGAAGAGCACCGGAAGAAGATAGAGCTTGGGTACCGTATAGAGTCTAGCTCCTTTAGTATGGCTTGGATAGAATCTATTCCCGTAACCGTAATAGTACTTACTGCATGCAGGGATATTGCAAATAGCAATGGTAGGTTGTAAATATTTGGGTTTTTTTTGATGGAAGCACCTAGAACAGCAAATGAGCACATTACATTGGTGCAATTACTTTGTTTCTGTTTAAATTAGAAGTAGCAGGAACTGCTAGCATCTCCACTTCTATTGCCTATATTACTGAATATTGATACAGAATAATATAGGGCTTCAGAGTCAATTTGAGTATTTTCTCTTTTTTTCTCCTTCAGTCGCTTTTTGAAGCATCAGTGTAATGCCCAATTAAAGAGACGTGCCCAGCAGATACAGGAGGAGCTGGTAAGAGGAGATACTCCTTCATTTATGTTACAGATACTGCACGTTGAAGAAACTTGTTTCTTGTGCTTCATGTGTCTGCCTCCTATGCCTACAGCTAATTAGTCAGCAGGCCTCTTCTGGCTTGTGAATGGGGCTGGAGCATGAGGATCCCAGAGAAGCTGGCAGGCTGAGTGTCTTCTTGAGCGTGTCCTTGACACTGTGTCACTGCTAATTTGTACACAGAGTAGCCTCGCACATAGGTTAAAGCCTGTTGGATAGCTGTTAATCTTTTGACTTTTCTGTAGGAGACAGACAGGCAAATTTTATTAGCCCTCCTTGAGAAAGAAGATGAGGATCAGCGCCTCCAGTCTGCAAGACGAGAACGGGCTGTTGCAGATGCTGCCTGGATGAAACGTGTCATTGAGGAACAACTCCAGTTAGAAAAGGAGAGAGAGGCAGAGCTACAGACTATTTTTAGGTGAGTCTATGCACACTCGGGGAAAAAAAAAAAACCTAAGTGCTCCTTTAAAGTAGAGGGTAGCTCATCTGTGACCATGTATGACCATACCTTTTTTTTTTTTTTTGAACTTTTTAAGTTAAACCTTAGAGATAAAAAATTATCTTCCCTTTAGAGAAGAAGCTAAAAAAGTATGGGAAAAGAGGGAAGAAGAATGGGAAAGAGAAAAGAAGGCCAGAGATCGTCTGATGAGTGAGGTGAGGACCTTTTTTTAATGAGGTCTCTCTTCTTTTTATGAAGCCATCATTCTAGCTGTATTACTTACTTAAAGCAAGAGTCCTGAGGATTACAAACCCTGCTAATTATTTCAGTACCAGGGATGGAGTTTTCTGTTTCTCTGAATATGTTTTCTGAGAACTGTGTTAACTGTCTACGCAGAGATTTCTTCAGTTTTGCTTCCGAGTCTGACCCCTTTTTTGACTGATACCTTTTCCCTTAATCCCCTCACTCCAAAAAGGTCCTTGCAGGCAGACAGCGCCAGATCCAAGAAAAAATGGAGTTAAACAGACGGGCCCAAGAAGAGTCTGTAAAGTATAGAGAGCAACTGATTAAAGAACTTGAGGAGGCCAAAGAACTGACTAGGCGAGAGAGAGAGCAAGAGGAGAAATTGAAGACAGCTCGCAAACAGGAGTTGGAAGCTCAGGTACGGTTCAGTTTTCAGCTATGTACCCCAGATGCATACAAGGTGCTGTTGCAGTACACTTACTTAGCTGTTGCTTCTGGAAAGTACATGGAAAAGTACCGTAGCAGAGAATTGCTTGGCTTCTGAGAGATCAGTTAAGGAAGTTGAGGAATCCGAGTGAACAAACCAACTCTCTAGTCAGTGCTGCTGAAGTTTCCAAATGTGCAGTGGATTTGTCCCTTAACGTGTTAGCTAAAGACCAGCAGACGATATTCAGTACGCTCCTTAAACCTTGTAGTGCTAGAAACCTTATTGTTACAGGGTGCTGCTTTGAAATGCAAGTGCAACCTCCTAGACTAGTCTGTGTGTCTGTGATCTAGCTGTAATAGCCCACGTCTATGCTATCCTTAGATGACAGAACGTCACTTAGAAGAACAAGAAGAGCAGCAGCGCCAGAGAGAGGAAGAAGAGGAGGAGAGAGTAATAAAGCAGCGCTGTGAGGAGTTAGTGCAGCAAGAGGCCCAGCGCATGGCTGAGCAAGGATATCGCAACAGGGTAAATAGCAGCATTATGGGGAATCCCGTACTTACAGATCATCATAACACTTAAGCATAGCAGGAAGGGTGACAATCCTCATGTAAGCAGAATGTATTTTATTTCTAATCTGTGTCTTAGTTGCCATACAGTGCTAAAGGAGAAGGCTAGACCCGTTCTTTCCCTTGAGCTATTTTTACCAGAACACTATAGCTCTGTCTTATGAAATGCCTTTCTCTTTTACTGATACTGATGATTAAAGTCGTGACTGACTGACTGAACTTTTGAGGTAGACTTTTTGCTACTGCCTTAAATGACATTCTAATTATTCTAGCTATTAGCAGCCACAATAGAACAGTTGCTGCAATGCATCTCTCTTTTTCCCTCTTCTGTCACATTCTGTCTGGTTCCAAAAACTAAGCTGTATTTGAATTGCCCTGCTTAAAACCTCATGCCAAGCAGATAACATATTTCATCCTAAACGATGAGCTATTGTACAGAGTAGCTTGCTTCTTAGTAATTTTTTAGATAGTAGTTACAAGAACAAGAGGAATGTGGAATTAGGATTGCATTGCCTTAAATTATCAACTCTTACAAGTTATGATAGATTTTTCTTGAAAGGCTTTCTGTACTCTAAGTACTTTCTCCGCATGCCTAATAGCATGTGTGGAAGATGAAGGGCTCTAGAATTAAAGTATTTATGATTTTTTTTTTTTGTTTTGTTTTGACTCTGTTAGCTCTACAGTCATCCAAAAGCAGCATGGATCTGAAGATTCCTGTCCTTGAGCAACGAGCACTAAATGAGGTTGCATACTACAAAAAGAAAATTTTGAGGAATCAAGAAACTCCTTATATAATGATGGTTTTGGAGTAGCCTACAATGACTCTAAACTCAGTAGAAATTAGATATTTGAAAATATTTTGATGTGGCCTAGCTGAACACAAGATCAAATTTCTACTGGCTCCAATAAATGCAGAGGTGTGCGCATGCATTTAGGATTCCACCTTTAACTGCTTCACTTACTTTCTGTTCAGGAGTTATGATGTTTTATTTTAGTACGTGCTGCAGTGAGTCAAAACATTCAACAGGAAGAAGAGCAAAGGAAATAAAGCTTGCAGTCTGGTTGTAAAAGTATGAAAGAATGCCTACTTGCTGCAGAATAGTAACTCTAGGCCGCTAAGGGTTGTGTTTTGTATTTAAATTTAAAGTCAGACTCCTGCCTCAGAAAAGCAGTACGTGCCCTAGAAGCCCAGCTGTTGCTTCATAACACCTATTGCAAATCACTGAGATAGATGGATAGATAGATAATGCAGGCTGTGGTACCACTTCTTAACATGTCAGTTCACCTCCTCTTCAGAAGGTGTTGAAGACGTCAATAAAGGATTTTTTTCTCATTTTTACAAATAACGAGTACTTGCAAGCTGAATAACCGTTAGTTTCAATATAGAAGCCAACTGCTGTAACCACAAGAACGTGTAAGTTTTAGTGATATTGCACTCGACTCCTTGATGTCATTGTGGACAACAGCAGCTTAAGATCAGGCCAAGCACTTCCCCTGGTAAAGTACACTCAAATCTGCACTGTACCACCTTCCATAGTGTGCAAGTCCTGTGTTGCCATAGGAGTCTTACAGAGATTCATGCTATTCTAGCAAGGTAGCCTTACTCAATTAATGGAACTTTTTCAATATTTTCTTCATAAAACAAGCAGTCAAATAACCCACAGTTTTACACACTGAAAGGATTTTAGCATTTTATAATAATACAGTAAACAAAAGATTAAGTCAGAATGTACAGACAGAATGACACTGATAAACACAAGTTTGTCAAAAGGCATTTTTACTTTCCTATGCAGCATTTTGTAGAGAGGATGGGGGTAGGGAAAAGAGATCAACTCATAAAATAAAAACCGCTTTTATTGATTCAGATATTGTAGAATCTGCTGACCTGCAGTGCTACATAACTTGAGGGCTAATGTATTACTCTTTTAGTTCCACCATTATTTTTGATCCACTCTGCCTGGTTGTGGAAAGAGCTGATGAAGCATGTGAGCATTTGCTCAGACCAAGCTTCTGTTCTACTGATAGCTAAGAAAATTTCATATCCCACATCAAACTGGCTCTGGAGCAATGACAAACTGTGATGATGACCGATCGGTCTAGAATAAACGTTTGTCCAGAGAAGGTGGAGTTTACCAGAAATGCTTTCAAGTGACAGAATGGAAAATTAATCGCATTTGGCAATACATTATTTTAGAAAACCTGTAGCTAGCATAGTGAGAACAAGGGCTTGCAGTTAAAGTTAGCTTTTGTTTTGGCACAGAGGCAAATTTAAACAGCTGGTAACTGAAAAATCAGGTAAGGATATGTTAAAGAAAAGCATATAATGATGTCCCAAGAGATTCAAAAATACCCTTCTCTACCTTTCAGTTATGATAATTTAAAAGAAAAAAAAATCCTAAAAGGAAATTATGTACTGGCAATGAAATATACTGATAATTCTGAAACAGGTTTTATAAATATTTGTCTTTTACGGTTCTAATCCCAGCCTGTCTGCACTCCTGAACATTTAGAAACCGTTCTAGGATTCAGAAGTACAGAAAGAAGAGACAGATCATGAAGAGGATTAATTTACTAGATTTTCATCTAATCTCTCTCCATCCCTCTTCTCTCAAACTTAAGTATTTTAAAAAGGCACCTATTTACAACATTTAAGAATCCAACAATATCGTGGCACTTGGGCAATGTTTGTACGTACATACAAACGCAAGTATGGTTTTTAAAAGGAAAAAGCCACTGAAGTTTAGTCCTTGTTCGTTAACCTAAACATGGCAGATTTTCACCAGAAAGCCTTAAAGAATAACGCTAGAATATGCTAGACCTGTTTATGGAACAGCAGATAGCCATTTCTGAATCAAATGTTTCAGTGAAAAGTGGCTGAATATTCACATATTTAGACAGACCATAATATGATGACGCTTACATAGATACTGCTGGCCAACACAGAGAGGGCAGAGAATATAGCAACATATGTATAGTTTGTGGCCTTTAATTTTTGGAACTAGAGGAAAGAGTCATAAGACTACCTATAACAAGGAAAGGTCTTCTATTTGGTGGGAAACTTTCACATTTCACAAGCTTTGCCAGGTTTATATGTAACTAGGCTTGACGTGCAGGATTTATGAAATCTCACACCATCAAAATAATAATTAACTGGAGTTTTGCTTTGAAAAAGTAACCGACAACTACTCATCTGTTCCCTCATTTCAGGTAACAAATCAAAATCTTTTTCCTCTGAACTCCACAACATTTGCACAGCAACAAAGCGAGCTAAGTTGTCAAAACACTCAACCAGATGAAAAGGTATAAGATCAGTTTCCATCCTCCTTGTTGTGCAGCCCCTCTACAGACAACAGCCCTGTATCTGTCCACCATGATCCTTCTGCCATTTGCCATTAGATCACTGAAACAGCTCTAGGGTCAAGCTGGTAAGGTAAAACCATATTAACTACACACCTGTGACATCTGCCTATGTTTCTTAAATTTGATTTTCAGCTAAAGCACTGCTTTAAGTGGCTACTAGTTAAACTGATGTGACAGGCTCTTTGGAAATGACAACACACTTTCAGATGGGACACATTAGGAGGCAAAATATCATTGATTCTCCATGGAATTTACACTCCTTAGGAACTGTAATTTTTGAAAGTATGGACTTAATCATTTTTTAGAAATTCTTACGAACTTAGAAATTGAAAAAACTGAAATATACATTGACATTTGTTACCTATCTACATTTCTGATAGGTGACTGATCTTGAGTTATTCCATATGCAGCTTGTAAAATTTTGAAAGCTTTGCATGAAGGTTGCTAGATATAAAAATCTTTTCACATTTAGATACGCTGAGGTACAAAGGCAATATGCTATGGCAGACATAGCTTCCTTTGAACTGGCACTCTTCTAATTTCCTTTTTTTCCTCCATAATTATCACAGAAATCTTCAACAAAATTGCTTCTCAGGAGACACTGAACAATGCTGCTACAAACAAAATTTTGCCTTGAAGATGACACTAAATGGTAATAAAATTCCATAGGAAACTTCAGAATGGGTTACTAAATCAGAAACAAAGGATAATATTTTAACCACTAATGCCCTAAAGTAACATCAAACATATATATTAATGGCATAGTGACAACTAAAAGTAGTAACTATTAAATTTTAAATTCCTTCCAAAACAGATAAAGTGACAAAAGACCTTGTATAGTTACATTTAATAAGCTTGGATGCCCACAACTACTATTGTTTCAGCAGACTAAAAATGTATTATTGCACAACAGTTGATATGGGAACAGGTAATACTCAGTTTGTATTCCGTTATCAGAAGGACTACAAAACTTCTCTCTGCTGTTTAGCAGTTATGTTCCTGGAGCCTTCAGAGCCTGGTTTCACCGCAAGTTTTAGCCAGTAGGTATCACCCTGCAAATGAGGCTCCAGGATGTACAGAGCAAAGGCGAGATTCTGCCCTCTGATATGTGCAGTTGACTTCAATGGGAGATGTGCAAGCAATATCTGAAGGCAGAAGATGGCCCTAAGGAAATCTCTTATAAGAGCTCGATACAAATGTTGTATGTGATATTGGCTCAACAGCTATTTGCAACATGCTATTATCTGTAACTAAACTGGCAACACAGGCACAAAATAAGGCAGTGGGTTAAATTAATCATTAAAATTGTTAGAAAACATGCAAAAATAATACTGAATTAAAAAAAAAAAAGTTTTTTGCCCCTTTAGTTTTCTTGTAAAAATTTGAATAGTTCCACACCTATATTTGAAATTCAACCTTTTAAAAAAAAAAAAAAAAACAAGACTAAAAAGCCAAGCATGACTCAGTTGTTGTTCTCTTTGGTTGTGATGGTAACCAGTTGTTTAGCAGCCTTGGCAATGTCATACGCACACTGGATAACTTGCTGAGTGACCAGCTGGATGTCTGTCGTAGGGCAGGTCTCCACAGGAAGGGTTTTTTTGCATTCAGATTGAAGTCTGTAGGCACTAGATGTCAGCAGACGCAATGAAGTCCTTACCAGTTCAGATTTGGGTTTCTGGGAAGGGAAAGTAAAAGTTGAAGTAAATAGAACAAAACTGTTTTAGAATCACTTTTAATTAGCCAGTAGTTCTGAATAAATGTTCTTTAATATAGGACATCTGCTGCTAGGGCTCTATGCTTTCTGGGACTTCTCTCTGAACTGTATAAGATGTTATGAGCAATCACTGCAATCAGAGACGTGGGGTAGGATTGGATAAAACAAGTTCCCATAATTTCTCCTCTTTCATCCCGGTGACATATCAAACTACTATAAGGCAGCATGCAGGAAATACCGCATAATGCTCTGATTTAGGAAGTTATTCATACAAATTGTCTAAGGCCCATTTACTGCTTCCCAACCCACATCCTGGCTGAGAAAGCGAGGCCAGGATAACGCACGTACAAGACGAGTCTAGATAGGCACAATAGCACGAGGTTTTCCCAGCGATTTTACATGTGCAAATACTGCTTTTGGATTAGACCAATTAACGTTACTTGCCTCAGGTCAACAACATTTGCAGAACTCGATGTTGGGATTCTTTCTTAGAAACCTGTATCAGGTTCGTTATGGAGTTGCAGGAGAAGGGTATGTACACAGAACAGCTGCCCAACTGGTGAGTTATGAACAGCTTGTTCCTTTTAACAGACAGAGAGTGCAACCTCTCACAGAGGTCCCTAACAATTTTGATAGCTGCCGAAAAGCTCTTCCCTCATACCACTAACCCCTTCCTTCCGTCTTTGTGACGGCTTCTCATATACCTGGGCTTTCTCGTGACCAGTTTCCAGGCAGGCCCGAAAAATATACTTTTCATATGGGAAATAAATCCAGATGTGTAATCTGTGACTGTGCCACAAATGGAGTCACACAGGAACACACTGGAGTTGTCAGCAGTATTGAAGTTGGAAGGAAATCTGATTCAGATTCTACAACATCTGAGACTGAGATGAGATGGTCATTCAAATTATTTTGTAATAGGACAAATTCACTTGAACTACAGATAATTCTAACCTTAAAACTGAAGAGTAATTTGTCTGATCTCAGACAATCCCCTCTGTTATCTAGGGGCACAAAAAGCTATTCATCCCAGTGATCTCAGATTATACAGGAATCTCAGACTATCAAGAAGTTAATTATGGAGCCTTCACTTGCTAAAATTTGCTGTGAAGAAACAGGTTGCTTCAGTAGATGGTTAACCGTCTTAAATGTATGTGCCAATAAGAAATCCAAGCAATGGCCTTAAAATGGAAGGTTGGGACTGACAAGTCTAGCAAAATTCCAGTGTAACCACATGATTGCTAAGCTAGATGCAAATATCCTCCAGTTTTAGGGGAACTGCATGCAGTTTTTTAATTTTACTTTTGAACTTTCAGCTTTAGGGCCTCGATTCACAAATTAACCCTTTCCAGTCAGCACAGTAATAAAAACAAAGATGACAAAGATACCTAGGCCTTTCTTCCTGTCCTCTGGTTTTAGTGTTCATTTACTGCAGGAAAATTTACTAACAAAGAGAAGAAAGAGGTCAAACTAGTTTTAATGCTAAAGGGTACTTACTTTTGGAAACAAGGCTGCCATTTCTGTTACTGCCACATGTATTCTCTCGGAGCATGGTATATAGCTGCAAAAAGATGCTACATATTATTCATCACGTAAAGACCTCTTTCCTTTTCAATTTCACTAGTCAGTGCCTATTTCCCCCAAACACCAAGTCACAAAAACCTATACACATTATGGTGAAGCTTAGTGTCTCCTCCTTAAACATTCCCTTATACACTGCAGCACAAGCTTGTATATAGCTGTACTATATGACTTCAGAGGGGGAAAAAAAAAAAAAAGAACTTAACAGCTATTTCTTCAATTTTGATTAGTCTTTGATCAAAATTTGTTTGAAGGAATGACTGTCCACACCTGTTATACCAAACATTGCCAGAAAAAAAGTCTCAATTTGTACTCAGTTATGGAAACACGTGTCTACAAATACTAGCTGCACGTTAATTCATAAATTGGCATTTCCTAAAAATGATTGAAATGCTACAATTTCTCTCTAAGTGACTGCAGAAAGTTGCTCAGATTGTTCTATTTGGCCTATGTAGGATCAATATATTATTGTTATGTACGTCAGAGCATGCACAAGTAAATTGATTCATACAAGTCAGGCACAAAGTAAAGTAAGATTCTGCAGTCTGAAGACACTTATACAAAATATGGTGATGCAGAGGTATTTGGGAACAAAGCAGCTTTATGCAAAAAAGTACTCAGACTGTTAAGGATCTATGCAACTAAAAATATCCTGCAACGTCTGAAAGAGATTTAAAGAAACCAAACGTGTTTCAATTGATTTTATGTTTCAGAGTTGAATTTCTGCCATCCAAACAGTTAATAAAAGTATTTAGAGACTCAAGAGCAGGTATTTATAGGGCTGTCTGGTCTATACCTCTGAAGCAATACAGAAAACTTTCCTGCACTTGTTTTCCATGAGTAGGTTACAAAGTAGAAGTCTTTCCAAAAATACTTCTCTCTATATTACATTGTCAAAAAAGAGTAAACCCCCCAAACTATATTCCAAACACTTGGCAGCAGGACCTGAAGCCTGACCCTTGTAAGCTTTTAACCCATCATTTCTCAGCTACACTTCGAATGCACTCTGTAATAAACGTGTGCGTCTCTGGGATCGACACCTGCGCTTAAAGCATTATTTAGTTTGTTGCCGAGATGCAGCCTAAGGACACACCTCAGTTCCAAGAACATTCACGTCCATACCTATCTCAGTCCCTTTTCAGCTTAAGTCAGGAACGCAGCATTATGCATGTAGCTCTCCTTTTTCTATTTCACAAATCAAAAGGCAGGACACCTACTGAGAATGGTGTACGCAAAGCTTCCAATACAGATTTCATACCTTGCTTTTTTGGTAAAATTTAGCTAACGGTAAAACATCATATAAAGGTAACTGAAGAAAGCCAAGCTGTCTTCTCTGATTAATTTAAGCACAGTAAACAAACAATGCACAACGCTCGTACAGCAGCTTACAAATACTTGCATCTCCAAACTACTTTCTGTGACCTACTTTCACAGTGCATACGTTTTAGGCTAAATTTTCAGTAATCCTATTGAGTTAATAAGTGATAGCTAATAAAACTACTACAGATTCTATTAGTCCTCACAGATTTCACTTCTTATATACCAAATGAAAATTGGTCCGTTCAAAATACATCTTAAAACTATTGATCATAAGCTTTTGTAAAGCATTCCATTAGTATGAACTATCAAAAGTCTAATTTCAAAAGACTCAGGTTTATGTTTTAAAACCTCACTTTCAACATTATAAGTTAGTTAACACAGTGCAATCTTAAGCTAAAAATCACAAAGCAGTAGCATTCCAGAAAAATATTCAACAATTGTTGAATATGATACATCATTGCCCTTTCAAGCAAAAAAAAAAAAACAAAAAAAAAACAAATCCACAATCAAATGATATGCAGTTATCTTGCAATATCAAAGGTGCAAAAATACATCAGTTACAAATGCACTGAAAAGGAAGCAACACACTGGGGTCATTTGGGCGATGCAGGAAAAAGTTACTTTAAAAAAAGGGAGTATTTCCATACGTCTCAAATCACAAGTCCTTTCAAATAACTAAAGGTAGAAGAAAATCTCTTTATACTACAAGTTCACCATAATTCCCATTCTGCTGTTAACAATTTGCTCCCTGTAAGCCACACTTAACGGTACCTTAACTCACATAAAAGCCTGTTTGCTGGTTAAACCCTCCACTAACAGCACGGAAAAAGCTGTAAGAATCACCAGGATGAAAGAGAACTTGTATTAGAGATACATATTTCATAACATATTCTCTAGTTCTCTGGGTTTGCTGCCAAGTTTGTAGCATGCCTTGGAGGAATGGCGTTATTTTAGCCGATACGGTATATACTCACTAAATAAGCTGACACATTTGATAAGTTTGCACACATTTCAGTAAGACATTAGGAAGATATTAAAGTAGTGATGGCTTGGCGGAAAACAAAAATCCATCATTAACAATAACTGAAGACTTGAGGTAACCTCTTCCTCCAATTTTGATATTTATATTTATCACTGGCAATAATGTTTGAGGTTAGAACTTGGAAAGTTCTGTTTTAAAGAATGTTTAAATTCCATTGTATTTTGGGCACAAACAAAAAATATTTTGCTCAAGGTGAAAGATATATGTAAAATGGTTATACCAGTAAGTCTTTCTTCATTGGTCCAAGATACAGATTAACTTCTTGTTTGACACGCTAGCTATATAAACAGTTAAAGGCCTACACTGTAAGGTTTGAACGTGGCATTTTGGGGACTGGGAAAATTAAGCTTTTTTTTGCAACAGTATCAAAACCAGCAACAACATATTGTGCTGTTAGTTGTCATAAGTTAATTTATCGTGACAGACAATAAACAGAATGGAGACAGTGGAATCTCTTAAACTAGAGACAGTTGCAATTTCTAGGCTACGATTCTGTTCCCCAGTAAATCGATACTAGGAGCTTCAACTGAATGGGCACTCTTACTGGTTCATAAATCTCTCCACTTGCTATCTGCAATTTCTTTATCACTCAGAGCATTTCATGCATAGCCTTCAACGACCCCTGTGCAGATGGTGCATGAGGGAAAGAGGCAGCAGAGAGAAAGAGAAAGGACACTGTGCCTGGAAGGCAGGGACAGAGGCCAGAGTACCAGGAGGTAGGATCAGGCTGCTGGATGGTCAAAGGCTGCAGGGGAGCTCTCTCAGCCCAGGGAACCAGCGT